TTTTTTTTTTTTTTTTTTTTTTTTTTTTTTTTTTGCGGTACGTGGGCCTCTCACTGTTGTGGCCTCTCCCGGTGCGGAGCACAGGCTCCGGATGCACAGGATCAGCGGCCATGGCTCACGGGCCCAGCCGCTCCGTGGCATGTGGGATCTTCCCGGACCGGGGCACGAACCCGCGTCCCCTGCATCGGCAGGCGGACTCTCAACCACTGCGCCACCAGGGAAGCCCTACAAGTGATTTTTAACACCTGGCTTCTTAAAACTGTTGACTATAGAATGAAGTTAGTTTTTCTTATCAACAAAATCATATCTCTGTGTATTCATGTTGAAACAGAAGCCCCCATCTTACTCTGTCATCATGGACTCCAACATTAACTCTCCTGTGCTGGATACCCCTATCACCCACCTTTAGAACAATGACTGCTGTTCCTAATCAAAAACCTTTACAGTCTTTTGGGTTGCTTTATTATTTCACGGGTAATCATTGCTGAGATGATATTCTTTTTTCATAGTACCTTTTTATTTTACATTAGTGTTTATTGAGTGATTACTTTATGCTAGGCACTCTGCTGAGCAGTTCACATGCATTATCTCATTTAATCCTTACATTAACTTGAGGTAGTACCATTATTATTTTCCATAATATAAATAAAAAGACTGAAGCTTACAAGGGACAAAAGGTTTCTCCAAAACTAGGGGGCCAGAAAATGGAAGAGTAAGAATTGGAACCCAGATCTATTTGATGCTGCACTGTAAATTCTTAATGTTGATAATTAGCCAAAGAATGAGGTGGATAACATGAGATGGGACTCTGAAATGTAGACTGGAACAAAGTATTGGGGGTTGGAGGTCTTTTAGGCTATTTTGAGGAATATGTGCCTTGACCTAAGACCTATGGGATGCCAATGAAGGGTTTTAATGATGGAGAAGTGATATGATTAAACTTTTTAAACACAAGTTTGACCGTAATATGCACTACTAGCAGGAAATGGTAAACACGGAGATCAATTAGAGAGTTATTTCCATAGTCCATGTCAGATAGATTATTGTGTACTGGACAAAGGTGACAGAATGGAAATTAATTAGAGTCAGATTCAAGGCATATTTAGGAGATAGAACCTACAGGTCTTGGCAACTGACTGGACACGGAGGGTGAGGGGGAGGAAAGAGTCAAGAATGACTCCATGGTATGAATTCTCTCATGATGAGCAAGGTGTGCTCGCTGCCTGAAAGATTTCCTGCAATCCTTACATTCATAGGGTCTTTCCCCAGTATGAATTCTTTGATGTAGGGTAAGAGATCCACTGTAGCTAAAGGCTTTCCCACAAATGTTACATTCGTAAGGTTTCTCTCCAGTGTGAATTCGCTGATGTTGAGCAAGGCCTGCATTCTGGCTAAATGTTTTCCTGCATTCCTTACACATGTAAGGTTTCTCTCCGGTATGACTTCTCTGATGTTGTGCAAGTGACGAGCTGTTGCTAAAGGCCTTCCCACATTCGATACATTCATAGGGCTTCTCTCCAGTATGAACCCTCTGATGTTGATCAAGGTATGCAATCTGGCTGAAAGCTTTCCTACATACTTTACACTCATAAGGTTTCTCTCCAGTATGAACTCTCTGATGTTGAGCCAGGTGTGCATACTGGCTGAAGGTTTTCCTACATTCCTTACATTCATAGGGTCTCTCTCCAGTATGAATTCTCTGATGTACAATTAGGTATCCTCGATGGCTGAAGGCTTTCCCACACACGTTACATACATAAGGCTTCTCTCCTGTGTGAATTCTCTGATGCTGAGCAAGAAATGAGCCATTACTAAAGGCCTTTCCACATTCAATACATTCAAAAGGTCTTTCCCCAGTATGAACCCTCTGATGTTGAGTCAGGTGTGCAATCTGGCTGAAGGCTTTTTTACATTCTTTACACTGATAAGGTTTCTCTCCAGTATGAACTCTCTGATGTTGAGCAAGATGGGCATTCTGGCTAAAGGCTTTCCTACATTCTTTACATTCATAGGGTTTCTCTCCAGTATGTATTCTCTTATGTTGAGCTAAGTTCGCACTCTGGCTGAAGGTTTTCCCACATTCAACACATGCATAGGGTTTCTCTCCAGTGTGAATTCTCTGATGAAGAGTAAGAGATGAGCTCTGGTTGAAAACCTTCTCACATTCATTACATTTCAAAAGTTTCTTTTCTACATAGACTTTCTTACGTTTCATTTCAACAGATTTTTTCCGGTAGCTTCTCTTTCGTGGCTCATGCTTATGTATTCTTTCTTTGGTGGGAAAACTCTGCCTTATATCAAAGATTGCATCCTGATGGAAAGTTTGCCAAGATTTAGTATATTCATTACTTTGATCTTTAGTCAGGATTTCTTTATGAGTGATGATCAATTGACTAGAATGTATCTCCTGACTTCCCAAGTGGTTCTTAAACCAGTCCTCATTTTTAGAGTCTTCTCTCAAACTGGAGCAGTCAAGGTTATAACTAAGATGGCTTCTTCCCATTGTCCTTACTTTGGATGATTCCTCATAAATAACTTGCTTTGATGAAAATTCATTGTTTTTAAATGCATACTCCCAATCTAAAAGATACCAAGAAAACAAATGTCTTTTGTATTTATGCATTAGAAAAGAAGAAGTTCTAAAGCACAAATTGATGAATGAACTACATAAGAAGTTCAAGGATTTAACAGCTGTTAAATGCAGTCTAATAATGAGATTATAGAGAATGAAGAAAAATTTATTAAGAAAATAAATCATGCATAACTAAAGGTAACTATCAGAAAATCATAATAATCTTTTTATATATATATTAATATAACAGTCTGCAAACACCCTTCCTCTCTTGCTGCTAGTTATCCTGCATTCAAGCTAAGTTCATTACCTTTAAAAAACCAATTTCATGTCAGTGTGGCTAAAAAAACTCCCAGTACCATTAATTGCCATAGGCTGTACATAAAACTCTATGGTTAAACTTTTGCAGCCTGGAAGTGGTCTTCCTGAGTATCATTTTCTGTGTGATATGTTCCAACCAAATGTAAGTTTTCAATTGATACTCAAGCTAAGATGCCTTCATATAGAAGTAATTTTGTATCAAATTTCTTGGTTTTATTAACCTGCCATTGGCCTTAATTGCCTTACCCTTTTCATTCCCAAATCAAATCACCTATTATTCTGTTCAAGACTTTCCAATGGTTTCTCACCTTATTTATAGTAAAACCAAAATTCCTATCATGATTTACAAAACCAATGTAGCACATGAACATAAATATAAAGCCTATATAAAATTATGGCAAATAAAATCCAGGAACATATGAAAACATAATCATAACCAAGTGGAGTTTGTCCCACGAATGCAAGGTTGGTTTAATATATGAAAATCAATGTAATTCACCACATTAACAGATTAAAAAAAGGAAAATCATATTTCAATAGATATAAAAGTATTTTACTAAATTCAACACCTGTAGGGCTTCCCTGGTGGCACAGTGGTTGAGAGTCCACCTGCTGATGCAGGGGACACGGGTTCGTGCCCCAGTCTGGGAAGACCCCACATGCCATGGAGCAGCTGGGCCCGTGAAACATGGCCACTGAGCCTGCACGTCTGGAGCCTGTGCTCTGCAACAGGAGGGGCCACAACAGTGAGAGGCCCATGTACCGCAAAAAAAATTCAACACCTGTTTATTATAAAAATTCTCGGCAAACCAGGAACAGAAAGGAAATTCCTCAAGCTGATAAAGGGCATCTATGAAAAATCTGTAACATCAACAGTGAAAGAGTGAATACATTTCCCCTTACAACAATGCAAGTATATATGCTCTTACCAATTCTATTCATTTTACAGGAGGTCCTAGCTATTACAATTAATCAAGAAAAAGACATAAAGATCAGAAAGGAAGAAATAAAACTGTATTTGCAGAAAAAATGTTCATGCAGAAAATCCTCAGGAACTTACAAAACAACTACTAGAACAACTGCTAAATCAATCCAGCAAGGTCAAAAGATGTAAAGTTAATATAAAAGTCTAACAACATTGTAAATGAACTATACTTCAATAAAAAAATTTTAAAAATCAATTTACATTTTTACATACTAGCAGCAAACAATTGGAAAATGGTCTTTTTAATATAAAAGCACCAAAAAAACATAAGACTCAGGGAAAAAAATTTTAGATATAAGTATATTTTTTTGTATATAGCTATATAAATATAATACTTATAAATATAAGACCACTACACTGGATACGACAAAACACTGCTAAGAGAAATTAAGACTGTAAAAAATGGCTAAATAAACCATACTCAGGAATTGAAAAAAATGATATTAGGATGTCATTCCTCTCCAAACTGATACATAGATTCAACACAATCCCAAACAAAACCCCAGGAGGATTTCTGGGTAGAAATTCTCAACTTCATCCTAGAATTTATATGGAAATGCAAATGATATATTAAAGTAGTCAAAGTGATTTTACAAATTGAACTGATATCAAAATTTACTATAAACCTACAGTAATCAAGACAGTGTGGTACTGGTGAAAGGACAGAGTTTAGAACTTAATGCATGCATATATGGTCAAATGATTTTCAGTGAAGGTACCAACAAGATAATATAATGGGGAAGGGAAAGTCTTTAAAAGAAAGGGTACTGGAGAAACTATATATACAAATTGGGAAAAAAGAAAAAAGAACTTCAACCTTTACCTCACACAAGGCACAAAAATTGGCTCAATGGAACATATACCAAAATATAAAGCCAAAATTATAAAATTCCTAGGTGAAAACACAGAAGAAAATGTCTGTGACCTGCAGGTAGCAAGACTTTCTTAGATATGACACAAAAGGGACAAACCAAGGCAATAATTTGGACTTAACAAATATTGAAAACTTTGGATGTTCAAAAGACAGTAGTAGGAAAATAAAAATACAAGTCACAATTGGTACGTATATCTCAATACACATAAATGACAAAGAATTTGTATCAGGACTATACAGGCATACCTCGGAGGTATCATGGGTTCAGTTCGAGGCCACCCCAATAAAATGAATGTTGCAATTAAGCGAGTCACACGAATTTTTTGGTTTCCCAGTGCATGTAAGAGTTATGTTTACACTATAGTGTAGTCTATTAAGTGTGCAATAGCATTAAGTCTAAAAAAAAATCAGTTTACATACCTTAATTAAAAAGCACTTTATTGCTAAAAAGTACTAACCATCATCTGACAACGCAGGGTCACCACAAACCTTCAATTTGTAAAAAGTGCAATATCTGCGAAGTACAATAAAGTGAAGCACAATAAAATGAAGTATACCAGTATTAAGAACTTTTACAATAATAACAAAACAACCTAATAAAACATGGGCAAAAGATTTGAACAAATACTTCACAATAGATATATGAATGGCCAATAAGCACATGAAAAGATCCTCAACATCATTAGTCATCAGATAAATACATACTAAAACTACAAGATACCATAACACAATCATTAGAATGGATAAAACTAAAAATAGCTCACCAAAAAGGAAACCCTCCTACATTGTTGATGGGAATGTAAATTGATGCAGCCTCTACGGAAAACAGTATGGAGGTTCCTCAAAACACTAGACTTGCCATATGATCCAGAAATCCCACTCCTGGGCATATATCCAGACATAACTATAATTCAAAAAGATACATGCAGCACTATGTACAATAGCCAAGACATGGAAACAACCTAAATGTCCATCAACAGGTGAATGGATAAAGGAGATACGGTACATATGTGTGTGTATACATATACACACACACACATATATACATACATACATACACACAATGGAATATTACTCAGCTATAAAAAAGAATGAAATAATGCCATCTGCAGCACATGGATGGACCTAGAGATCATCATACTAAGCCAGGTAAGTCAGAAAGAGAAAGACATACCATATGGTATCACTTATATGTGGAATCTAAAATACAATACAAATGAATATATTTGCAAAACAGAAACAGACTCATCTAGAGAACAGACTTGTGTTTGCCAAGGGGGAGGAGGGGTGGGGGAGAGAAGGATTGGGATTTTGGGATTAGCAGATGCAAAGTATTATATCAATATATAGGATGAATAACAAGGTCCTATTGTGTAGCACAGGAAACTATATTCAGTATCCTGTGATAAACCATAATGGAAAAGAATATATATATGTAACTGAATCACTTTGCTGCACAGCAAAAATTAACAGAACATTGTAAATCAACTATACTTCAATAAAATTATTTTAAAAAAGAAAAAACCTCACCAAGATATGGTGAGGATGTAGAGCAACTGGAACTCTTCTACAGTGCTGGTGGGAATGAAAATGATACAATCTCTTTAGAAAACTATCTGGCAGTTTCTTAAAAATTTAAACATATTCCTGTCATATGACTCAGTTTTTCCACTTTCAGATATTTACCTAAGAGAAATGAAAACGTATGTCCACACAAAGTCCTGTATGTGACCACTTCATATAGCCCCAAACTGCAAACAACCCAAAAGTGCATCAACAGGTGAATGGAAAAAGTGTGGAACATCTATACAACAGACTGCTACTCAGAAACAAAAGGAGTAAATTATTTATATATGAAACAATATGATTTTCAAAATAATTTTGATGACAAAATAAGCCACACATAACAGTATGATTCCATTTAGTTTAAATGCAAAGTAATCTAAAATGACAAATATCAGATTAGTGTTTGGAGCCAGGAGTGAAGAAGAATGAACTGCATAGAGGTACAAGCTATCTTCTGGGGTGACGGAAACGTTTTATGTCTTGATTGTGGTGATGGTTTCATGGACGTATACAACTGGCAGAACTCATCACATTGTGTAATTTATATGAATGCAATTTACTGTATGTAAATAATTAGTTATTAAGAAAAATATTATAGGGACTTCCCTGGTGGTCCAGTGAGAATCCGCCTTCTTAGTTCCTGGTTGGGGAACTAAGATCCCACATGCCGTGTGGCTACTGAGCCTGCATGCCACAACTAGAGAGCCTTGTGCCACAACTACAGAGCCCATGCACTCTGGAGCCTGCATGCCACTACTACTGAGCCCACATGCCACAACTAGAGAGAAACCCAAGCACCACAATGAAGAGCCTGTGCGCAATAATGAAAGATCACATGTGCCACAACTAAGACCCAATGCAGCCAAAAATAAGAAAGAACAAATTATAGATGGAATGAAGAAAGATTAAGTAAAGAGAGACTTTAGTAACATAATAAAAAAAGAAACTCATGTAATAAGCTCTTTACACTGAAAATAGAGACTATACCTTGGAACCTATGGAACCGTTAAAGAAAACTAATGCTATATTAGGACATATAAAATCCTCAAATCGTTAGAGAGTAGAATTAGTACTAATTAGTATCCTGATCAAATATGATAAAACAATTTGATCAAGATACAATAAAACAAGAAAACTTTCTTTTAAACAACTCTTGTGTAAAAAGGAATTTAAAAAAAAATAGGTTGTCTAGGAAATGGAAATAAGAAAAACTACATATCAGAATCTATGGAAGTCACCTAAAGCTATATTCAAAAGAAAATTAAAACTCCTAATAATGTCATTAGTGAATGAGAAAATGAAATTAATAGTTTAAGTTTTTTTCAGCAAAATGGAAAACAAAATAAACCTAAGGAAATTAGATGGAAAGAATTAGTAAAGAGAAAAACAGAAAATAGAGAATTAGAAAAGAGAAGAATGATGACACTATATTTTATATTTAACAGATACATCCAAAAGCTGGATTTTAAAAATAAATAAAAATTAACAAAATTGACTAATGAGTAGCAAACAATTTTTTTTTAAATAACAGCTATGTAAAATAAATTAAAATTGGAAATTACCAGATATAAAAGAAAAACAATTATAAGCAATTATTATGCTCAGGTTCATAGAAATAAATCTGTAACCTAAATGAAAAGGGTAACTAACTAGAAAAATTTAAATTTATATAATTTAACCCAAGGAAGAAACTATAGGGAGGTTATTTACCAGAGAGGACATTGAGAAAGTTGTCAAAGGTCCACTTCCCCACAAAGGCCCAAGTACCAGGACTTTTCTCTCAAACTTGAAGACTATGACCTCATTCCTTCACACTAACATCTCTAAATCAGAATTTTTCTTCTTAGCCTCCATCTCCCTCCAATCATACATTGCATATCTTCCTTGGCAATCTCCCCATCTCTTAAAAATAAGTCTCTTACTGTCCCAAGCCAAATTCATCTTTTCCTCTACCAACCTGTTCTTTCTTCTGACTTGTTTCTATTAAATGCTATCACTTTCCAGTTACCCAGACTTGAAAATACAACTGGAAATGCTTTATCTTTTCTTTGAAGGTTTATAAACCTCTGAATAATCCTAAAAATTGAGCAGAATGATTTTATGAAAGTAGAAATTCAGTGAATCAAGTGAATAAGTAAATGAATCAATCCTTCAATCTGAAAGGAATGAGTGACCAAAGAGGAAAAAATATGCATTGCTCTGTCTGGATTTTTAAACATAGAATGGAGCAATGTGTGTAAAACTAAAAAGCAAGGACAAGGAGATAACTGTGACATCTGCATCCAGAGAATAAGAAAATGTTATCAGAGAAGACAGTTATGTGTGAGAGAAAATATACACACATAATGTGTGAGGAGAGTTAGGTTGGGGAACTCACGCTAGACACACCACAGTGTTTCTTTCCAGGCCTTGAGCCTTTTCAGGCTACCCAGGAAACATCAATTATGAGCTGGAACTTTCCAGAATAGCTGAGCTTTTCCTTGCAATGGCCTCTGCCTGCCTAGTTCTCTCTCACTCACCAGGGCATGCTCCTCTTGTCCCCTCCTTCTTCACCATCCAGGGCTCTTTTCCTTGCTCCAATAATGAGATCACATCTGGCTTAGAAACTGAAACTCCTGCTTACAAGAAATAAAAGGGGAATTAGCCAGGCCCATAGATCAGATCAAGTTGCTTGGTCATCAGGAAGGTGAGGCCATTATAGAAGGGAGCTGAGGAAGAGATGAAGTATTCTGAAGAATGGGGAAGATGAAGTTGTATGGACAGTCTAATGAAGCTGCCAATTCTACAAAACTGTATTTATCTGGGGGAGCACAAAAATCAGAAACTTAGCGAACTATATCAGAGGTTTCCCAAACATTACATTGGAAAGCAGCCCTACGTGCAGATTCTGAATTACAGGGAGACCTCCTTACCCAGTGATACCAGGCTCCTATAGTTCTGCAACATCACTTTCCTGTACAAATTCCTCTGAGCAGGGTTCAGCCATTCCCACTCCTCTTGAGAGAAATCTACAGCCACATCCCCAAATGTCACCAAATCCTGAAATGACATAAACATATTCTTGCTCAACTAGTGTTCTTACCCTCGCATAAGCATAGTTTAAAAAATTAAATTGTCTATACTTCTGGAGAGAAATACGATAGGTAGTGAAATTTTCTGTCAGTATCTTGAGTTCTGAGCAACACGTGTCAAGTAATTGCTAGACAACTTCTCTGTGCTTAGTGTTGATATTCTGTCATGGAAAGTATACAATTTCAGAGTCTCTACTGATGGAGAAAAGATACACACAGAAATTGGCAATAACAGAACACTGTAAACAATCAAGTGTAAAATGTTATTCATACTAAATGCTAGAGCATTTCTCAATATGGAAAATAAGGATAGACTGGGGCAGTGAAAAAGGCTTCAAAGAGGAGGCAGAAACATGAGTTATGCCTTACAGGACGTACATGGTCTAAACCAGCATTTTCCCAAATTCTACAATGGAATGGTCAATGTTCCAGCTATATCAATAAGGTATATATTAAAATATATTTGATGCTTATAACTGGTTTTCTAAAATTAAATACAGATATAATAAAAACAGTAAAGTTTTATGGTGATTTTGCAAAAATATAACAAACAATATATGTCATTACGGAGAACAATCAGGGACAACAAAAGATTACATAACAGCTCTGACAACATCACTAAGTTTCAAAGACAGCTGGTAACTTATCATGCTACCTAAAAGACAAAATAATAGTAATTTTAAGTACTGATTAAGTTAAAGAATGAACATTTCAAAGGTGATAATGAAGTGCCATCAAAAAATACCTACAACTCTCACTAGAGGAACATACCCAATTGTGCACATCTAATGAGCAAGAGTTTTTTAAATGTTAAAACATAGCTCTTTAAATACCACTGTATGTTACATTAAGGATCTTGATAGCATGGAAGATGACCTAGTCTGCTCCCTAGAAATTGAAAATGGGCATTCTTCCTAATGTGGTAAGTCCGCTTCAGACTTATCAAGGCTTGCTGACTGATTTGGTATATGCTTCACAGGTTTGGCATGTCACGGAGCAAAATCTACTCGTAAGCTGAGCTGATATGTAGATGACCTAAACAGCTGAACTGACTTGTCAAATATTGAAATCCTTCCACACTGGTTGGTAAACAGCAGAGGAACCACTCCCAGTTAAAAGACCAAGAGCATTCCCCTGAAAGAACAAACAGTGAAACAGACCTCTTCATTCTAATAGACACTGATTTCAAAAAGGAGATAATGAAAATACTGGAGGAGTAAGAAAAGCTATTGACAGAAATGCAGAGTACTGTAAAAGGGAACTAGAAACTATACAGAGGAACCACAAAAAATCAGAAAACTCATCTGCAGAGATGAAAGCTAAGGGCAATGAATAGCAGAATGAATGATGCAGAAGAATGAATAAGTGACCTGGAACATAGAATAATGGAAATCACCCAACAAGGACAGCAGACAGAAAGCCAAATAAAAAAAAATGAAAGCAATATAAGAGACCTATGGGATAATATAAACCATGCCAATCTACACATAATGGGGATTCCAGAAGGAGAAGAAAAAGGGGATCAAAAATGTATTTGAAAAAATTATGTCTGAAAAATTCCCAATGGGGCTTCCCTGGTGGTGTAGTTGTTGAGAGTCTGCCTGCCAATGCAGGGGACACGGGTTCGTGCCCTGGTCCGGGAATATCCCACATGCTGCAGAGTGGCTAGGCCTGTGAGCCATGGCCGCTGAGCCTGCGCGTCCAGAACCTGTGCTCTGCAATGGGAGAGGCCACAATAGTGAGAGGCCCGAGTACCACAAAAAAAAAAAAAAAATTCCCAAACCTAAACAAGGAAACACATATCCAGGTACAGGAAGCACAGAGGGCCCCAAGTAAGATAAACCAAAACAGACCTACACCAAGACATATTACAATAAAAACAGCAAAAGTTAAAGAGAGAATTCTAAAGGCAGCAAGAGGAAAACAAAGAGTTCATTACAAGGAAACCCCCATAAGGCTACCAGGTGATTTCTCTACAGAAATGCTGCAGGCCAGAAGGGAGTGGCAAGATATATTCAAAGTCCTGAAAGGGAAAAATATACAACCTAGGATACTCTACCTAGCAAGATTATCATTTAAAATAGAAAGAGAGATAAAGAATTTCTCAGACTCACAAAAACTAAAATACTAAATCTATCCTAAAGGAAACATTGAAAGGTCTTCTCTAAATAGAAAAGAAGAATCTATAAGAAAGAAAAAAACATCACAATTGGAAAGTACATTACTTAAATTTACATTAAATTTAAAGCCAGGACACAGACAAAAAAAAAAATCCAAAAATTTGTGTGAAAATGATGGTAACCACAATGAACAGCAAAAGGATGAATAAGATGTAAAACAGGACATCAAAATCATAAAATGTGGGGGAGGAGAGTAAAAAAGTGTAGATTCTTTTTCTTTCCTAGAATGAATGTGTTTCAGTCTATATAACTACCAGTCTAAGGCAAGTAGATATAGGAAGGGGTTAACATTCTTGAAAAATAGGGTACCCACAAATCAAAAACATACAGTAGATTCACAAAAACCAAAAAGAAGAGAACATAAGTATAATACCAAAGAAAATCATGAAACCACAAAAGGAAAAATAAGGGACAAAGAAGAAATATAAAATCAACAGGAAAACAAGGTTTTCAATAAATACATATCTATCAGTAAATACATAAATAAATATCAGTAATTACCGTAACTGTCAATGGACTAAATCCTCCAATCAAAAGACACAGTGGCAGATTGGAAAAAAAAACAAACAAACAAGAGCCTACAATATGCTGCCTACAAGAGACCCACTTTAGGGCAAAGGATACATAGAGATTGAAAGTGAGGGGATAGAAAAAGATATTTCATGCAAAAGGAAATGACAAGAAAGTGGGGTTGCAATACTCATATCAGATAAAATAGACTTTAAGACAAAAACCATAAAGATAAAGAAGAATACTATATAATGAAAAAAGGATCAATACAAGAGAATTTTACGTCAACATATATGCACCTAATATAGGAACACCCATGTACGTAAAACAAATACTAACAGAAATATAGGGAGAGGTACTTCCCTGATGGTGCAGTGGTTAAGAATCCACCTGCCAATGCAGGGGACATGGGTTTGAGCCCTGTTCCAGGAAGATCCCACATGCCGTGGAGCAACTAAGCCCATGCACCACAACTACTGAGCCTGCACTCTAGAACTTGAGAGCCATGACTACTGAGCCCATGCACCACAATTACGGAAGTCTGTCTGCCTAGAGCCCATGCTCCGCAACAAAGAGTAACCCCTGTTCCTACTCGCCACAACTAGAGAAAGCCCATGTGCAGCAACGAAGACACAAAGCAGCTAATAAATAATAAATAAATAAATTTATAAAAAAGAAAAAGAAATAAAGGCAGAAATTGAGAAGACTACAATAATAATAGGATATTTTAACACCCCATTCACATCAATGGACAGATCTTCCAGATAGAGAATCAATAAGACAAGAGATACTAAATGATACAACAGAACAGTTAGACTTAATTGATATTTTCAGTACGTTACATCCAAAAATACCAGAATACACATTCTTTTCAAGTGCACATGGAACATTCTCTAGAACTGACCACATACTAGGGCATAAAACAAGCCTCAACAAACTTAAGAGTATAGAAATTATCTCAAGCATCTTTTCTGACCACAACGGCATGGAACTAGAAATTAACCACAGAAAAATAAATGAGAAAAAAATGATTACATGGAGACTAAACAACATGGTACTACAAATCCAATGGGTCAATGAGGAAATCAAAGAGGAGATTTAAAAATACCTTGAGACAAATGACAATGAAAACACAACCATACAAAATCTATGGAATGCAACAAAAGCAGTTCTTAGAAGTTCATAGCAATACAGGCTTTCCTCAAAAAACAAGAAAAATCTCAAACAACCTAACCTACCACAAAGAACTAGAAAAAGAAGAACAAACAAAACCTAAAGTCAGCAGAAAGAATGAAACAATAAAGATCAGAGAGGAAATAAATAAAAGACATTTAAAAAATAGAAAAAATCAATAAAACTAAGAGCTGGTTCTCTGAAAGGATAAACAACATTGACAAACCTCTCAACCAAGCTCTTCAAGGAGGAAGAGAGAACTTATTTCATTAAACAAAATAAGAAATGAAAAAGGAAACATAACAACTGACACCACAGAAATACAAAAAACCATAAGGGAATACTACAAACAATTATAAAAGAAAAGCCAAAACCCACATGGTCTTCTGAATAGATGTAGAAAAGGCATTTGACAAATTCAACATCCATTCATGATAAAAACTCTTACCAAAACGGGTATAGAGGGAAAATACCTCAAGATAATAAAAGCTCTTTATGACAAATCCACAGCCAATATAATACTCAACAGTGAAAAGCTGAAAGCATTCCTGCTAAAATCTGGAACAAGACAAGGATGCCCACTCTCACCTCTTCTATTCAACACTATTGGAAGTCCTAGCTGCAGCAATCAGATAAGAAAAAGAGATAAAAGATACCCAGATTAGGGCTCCCCTGGTGGCACAGTGGTTAAGAATCCACCTGCCAATGCAGGGGACATGGGTTCGAGCTCTGGTCGGGGAAGATCCCACATGCTGCAAAGCAGGTGAGCTTGTGCACCACAACTACTGAGCCTGCACTCTAGAGCCCGCCAGCCACGACTACTGAGCCTGCGTGCTACAAACACTGAAGCCTGTGCACCTAGAGCCTGTGCTCCACAAGAGAAGCCCCCACAATGAGAAGCCCGCGCACAACAACAAAGCCCCCGCTCGCCACAACTAGAGAAAGCCAGCGCACAGCAACAAAGATGCAGTGCAGCCAAAAATAAGAATAAATAAAGTTTTTAAAAAAAGATATCCAGATTGGTAGGGAAGAGGTAAAATTGTCATTATATGCAAATGATATGATACTACATATAGAAAACCCTAAACAGTCCACACATAAACTA